GTGGTTTAACTGCTTATCCACGTCAGTATACGTTCTCTTTCTGATATGCTGCCACGTAGACCTTCAAGAGATCTTAAAATTTACCAACAATTTACATAAGAGGCCATTGTGTTTGCGCGTCACCCTTTGCTGCTGCGCCTTAGGCGCGTCACCATGGGCTGTCGCGCCTTAGGCGCGTCACCTGTCAGTGTATTTTGTCGTTGGTATGCACAATGTTCTTCTATGTTGTTTCGCTTCTTTTGGACGATCCCTTTTGACTAAGATAATGGCGTTTATCGTCTTCTCTTTGTCTTGAGCAGTATTTGGATGTCCGTAAGCATTTTTTGACACCTACACCCCTATTCTTTTTTGATATTATATTCTAATGCTAACTAAACTAAATTAATTATTATTGTTAATTAATTATATTATATATCACTTCAAGTTTGTCTAACTTGGTCCCTAAAACTTTCAATGTTATTGAAAAACTCTACATCATATTAATTATTACTAATGTATAATAATATATTAATAGGCAATTACATGTTAATAAATTATTTATGAAAATAGTAGAAAACATAAATTGTCCTAAAATTGTACCATGACACTCATATTGGAAAATTACAAAGTCTATTATAATGTTTAGGTAACAGGACAGAAGGTACAAACATGCAATTTTAGAAAACCATTAGGATATTTAAGTGCAACAAGATACAAGTGAAGGTGTATAACTTTCGTACTATAAACTTGTTGTGCGCAGCGAAAATTTTGACAGCACCTCTGGTGCTCAACAAGAGAGTAGATCTCAGCTAAATCCTTGTTTCACAAAGAAAACAAGAACCGAAAGCAAAATATCTCAACAAAGTGGGATATCAGCTCTTCCTCTCATCAGTTCTAGGACTGGCCTATCGAGGGAACCTAAACTCTCTATTACAAATCATATCAGCTCTTCCTCTCATCAGTTCTAGGACTGGCCTATCGAGGGAACCTAAACTCTCTATTACAAATCATGGCACGAACAATCAATTTTAATGTGGTTTGGCAAGTTGCCTACGTCCACGGGGCAAGAAGGGGGTAGATCTACTATTAGAGAAAGAGAATATAAATGGGTTTACAATCACACAAATTAAACCCTCAAACTAACTCTCAAATCTCTCTCAAAAGGATGCTGAAAACCCTCTCAAAATTGGCACAAAGGACTGCGCAAAACTCTTCTCAAAGTCGACGGCTCTGCTTCTTTTTTAGCACTTTTTCTGCCGCGATTTTCCCTTGAACAATGAATTTTCCCTCTGCCTGTACGCATCCAAACTCTCCCCCTTTTGCACAAAACCCTAGGATAAACATACACGCTGATATTTATAAAGCTCAAATCGGGTGGGCCTGTAGCAAAGAAAACTCCTCAACACGTGATCTCTTCATGCTTGACGTGGCCCCCACAAGCACTCTTCCTTTCACGCGGTTGCTGCTCTGGGTTTATCATAAGACACATCCAAGTATGGCCCCCACTTGTCTTTCTCCCCTCTGCGATCTCTTCACGAGTTGGAAAATGCGTCATTCGTTCATAATTCTCCACCTCGGTGAAGTTTTCCCAAAACTGAGCCGATACCAACCAAACAAAATGTCTCACTTGTTGCGTCCAGTATGAAGTGAAATAATTCACGACAACGGACTCAATCCACAATAAGTCGAAAACCCAAATGAGAATACAAACATTCTCCAAATGTCGGTATCAACTCACCGAATCGGCTGCATCATAAATGACTACATGCGTATCCCCTTACCTAAGGAATCAAGCCGCACGTAGTTCATCTAAATGGCCTCCAAAGGCCCTCAATACAATAGAAGAATTCGTAACCCTCCTCCAATATCATCAACTCTGCGGCTGATAACACCTCCAATGGCCTCAAAGTGTAACAAATCAAACACCTCAACCTGAGGTGAACCAATGACCATATCCAAACTATATCTATCAGCTGTACTCGAATCAAAACCCAACTCATCATCTGTATCCAAAACCAATTGATTCCCAAACTATGTCACCTCAACTGGAATCCTAAATAATACAGAATAATCTGGAGTATGTGGAGTAATCTCCACCTAATGTGGAGTATCATCACCCTCCACCCGCTGCGATACATCTAAGGTCTGTCCAAAACTCTCCACCTGCTGAGAGTCAATAGTCTCCATCATCGAACTCTCATCCAATGTGACATTACCAGACTAAATATCCAATTGAGTTTTACCTCCAATCACAGTAGTTGATAACTCTTTAATAGGATGATCCAAATATGTCGAAGACTCAATTCAGAAACTCTTCTGCAGACCATTGCTTGACAACAAATACCGATTCTCCTCTAGCAAGACATGGTTCTCCAAATTTGCCACCCTATCTAGTTGCTCTAATATTTTCTTTCCAACGAAGTGTCTTGAAATGCCGTGAGCTCGGCTTCAAAATAGAAACAGGTCCATCTTGTACCTCCCACCAAAACCTGAATGAAGTACCTTCACCTTTCTGCCAATCTCACACTTCTTCAATCTGTTGGAGACTACTAGGACTTTATCCAAAGGGGATTTGGTTACAACCCAAACATGCCTAGAACAACCGCCAACAAAGAAAACCAAACATCTATTTCCTCCCAATGATGCCTCCTTGAAAGGCCCCCAAACATCCACGTGAACCCCAAACATCCAAAATTGAGGGTATACGAATGCACAGTAGGAGGATCTATAGAGTATTCAAGTGCAATTTAGCCATATTGTAAGAAAGCAAACTAATTATTATAAGTTTAAATATCAGTTATCAAACGGGGGTTTATATAAGAGTTTACAGGGTGAATAGGCTCCTCTAACTCCTCCTGAATGGTT